GGTCTTGTGATCATCGTTCTTATATATATTAATGCATCATATTTTACGTACGAGAAAGACGCGAGAAAACACCCAGCAAACACAAAATATAACTATTATATAACATAGAAGTAACACGTAATATAACGGGTGCTATACGTTATTAATGTTAAAGTTACATAATTTTCTTTTATAACTGCAATCTAACTGTGTTTTAAAACTGTTATAATTATCTGTTATTTACAGGTTATAATTATATAACACCAACATAATTAAAATATAACCTGTTATATAAGAAGCGTTTATTTGCATTACATCTATGTTATATAGCATTCTTATATCTAAGGATCGGATCATTCACTAGATGGCTTCCGTTTTCTCGTACGTAAAATATGATGCATTAATATATATAAGAACGATGATCACAAGACTGCACAATTTGTACTATGGAGTTCACTTTTATAGTAAAAAAAAGTCATATACTTTTTGATAATGGAAATTACTATGACAATAGTAATCATTTCCATTTGAATATGTATAGAAAAATGAAAATGAATAAATGAAAATAACTTCTCTCAATAGCACAAAATACCTGAAAACATACTGAAACACTAGACGCTTAGAATAGCTCTAGGATGATTCTGGAATATCTTGTGTTATTGGGAGCTAATTATTTAGAATGGCAAGATACTTTTATATTATTACCTTTAGTAAAAATATTTTTGATACAAAATATATAATTATAATATTTTTACAAATTAAGTGATATGAGTGATAGCTTATAATTTCTGCGTACAATTAAATACCTATAATTGCTGGGAAATAATAATTTATATTCCAGCTATATAATATTTCAGCAATATATATAATATTTTAGTAACATGTTATATTTCTGTTATATAGTTGCAATATCGTTTGAGTGGGAAATTACAACTAACGTGTATGTTACGTGTAACAAACATGTTATATTGTACGTTACATTCCGTTATATTATGACGATGTAACTGTTATATTATTGTGTTTGCTGGGCAGAAACCATCTAGTGAATGATCCGATCCTTAGATATAAGAATGCTATATAACATAGATGTAATGCAAATAAACGCTTGTTATATATTATACGCTTATATAATATATTATATTTTAGTTATATTTTAGTTATATAATTATAATCTGTAAATAACAGGGAATTATAACAGTTCTAAAACACAGTTAGATTGCAGTTATAAAAGAAAATTATGCAACTTTAACTTTAATAACGTATAACATCCGTTATATTACGTTATATTACTTCTATGTTATATAATATTTATATTCTGTGTTTGCTGGGCTGTGATGGCAACGTTTACCGCTGTATACTTGTATATTAGGTTAAGTTGAACAAAAATCTTCTACCATTTTTCAAATGATCACGTAGATGTTTAATTATTAATTAAAGGAGATCTACTGCTAAACCTCCTACAGCTCTTTCCTTTGATTTCCTATCAATATCCGTTATATACAAATTTAATGAAAGTGGATTCTTTCTCATCACACAGCTTTCCAGCAAACAATTTGGTACCAAATTGTTGCCAAATTGACACCAAATATAACCAAAACTTGAGGGGAAATCCGATGCCATCTGCGTCTGCAATATGCTTGGGCTTTGTTAGCAAAGCTACAAAATCTGACGCCAAATTGTCGCCAAATACCGAGCAAAGTTTGGCGCCAAACTGCGCCGCACAAACCTTGGTCGGTATTTGGCGTCAATTTGGCGTTAGATTTCACCAAGCTTTGTTCAGTATTTAGCATCAATTTGAAGTCAAACTGCGTCGTAAAAACTTTGCTCGGTATTTGGCGCCAATTTGCCAACAACCTTTGATTTAGCAGATGTTGTGTCCAATTTGATGACATTTTAGCAGCAAAATTTGTAGTCAAGTGTTGAGCAAAATTTGCTCGAGCAGATTTGGCTATCTGGGAATTTATCTTATTCCTTTCCTCGTATTAAATGTATCCATAAATTTATCTGCAGTCCTTATCGTCACTTCCGTTTTCTCATAGATCTTATTTATTTTTCTTATAAACTGGGTCTTCACATTTTTTTTTCTTCAATATCTTCAGCAATATTTCCCTACCTACATTATCAAAGGCTACCTTTAGGTTCATAAATATAGCATACATTTTTTCCGTTCTTCTTCTTTCTCTCTTTTCTCTTTGCCCTGCTTAAAATATTGGATAAAAAATGATATAAAATTTGTCTATCATATTTTATGGTGATTTTGATTCACATATTTCACAACTCATTTACGAAATTTCGTAAGTAAATTCATATATCATGTATTGTCTATAATTGATAAATATAAACTGATTATACCAACTTTCATATTCAACATGATGGAAAAAAGTAGTATCATAAGATATTATTAAACTGCATAGATATTCTTTTCATTTTTATCTGACTATTTTATAATCATCATTATAAGTAGAATTATTATGAAAGAATATTATAAGTAGTTTATTATAAAATAATAATAAATACATAATGCAATATTTACTATAATTCAGAAATATCAATTTATTATACAAACATCAATATTCAAGATGATTGAATAGAATAGTATCATAAAATATGATTAAAATATATAGAAAGTCTATGTTGTACGGCTTCGGTGCATGATAAGTCGTATAAATCAATATAGGAATTTTATCCATTTCAATCTTATCCAATCATTTTCTATCAAATATTTTAAGCAGGGTAGACCCTGATGACATATGATTCATCATAAATATATCATCAACTGTGGACCTTCCTTCTTTAAAACTTGCTTGACTCTATGGGTAAGTCCCTCTGTGGGTAGACCCTTTCTTTCCACCTCCTCCTCTCTTCACGTATGCCTTATAATTTTTGCATATTATATATTTTATATGTTAAGCATAATAATGAAATTTCTTTATAATTTTCTACCTCCTCTCGATCCTCTCTTTTATATAGAGGATATTTATGATATTCGTCTTCCAGTCTTTCTAGTATAGCTTCTTCTTTCCATACTTGCTTCAATATCTCCACCAAACACTTCCATACTGTTTTCTCTGCATATTTCCAATCTTCCATCGGAATACCATCGATACCAGATGCCTTCTTTACTTTCATCTTTTTCATAGCTCTTCTTATTTCTTCCTCTTCAATCTCATTTTCTTCCATCTCTTCGTTATACAAGGAATTTTCATTGTTGAGTTATGATATATGTAACTATTTTCATAGTTGAATTATGATATATGTAATGTTATATTTGTAATCGCGACTCAATTTTCATCTAAGTCTGAATTTAATTTTTAATATCTCACTTGAGACGAGTTTTAAGTAATAACTATTAATAATAGAGGGAAGAGGTTGATTTAAAGGAGAACATCACGGTAAAAATTTAAAAAAGTCAGTAAATCGGTCATCGCATTTTTTGAAAGATTGTAGTTTTAGAAAATTGTTTAAAGATTGATTAAAAACTGACGAAGAGTTAAAGAAGAATTTGTGAAATGATATCGGAGCGCGTAGAACACTGAGAGTGACTTCAAACGTATATCTCTCAAGACTATCTTTTTAAAGCTCACCAACAAGATATTTATCCTATAGGAAGATATTTATAAAAGTTATTAATATCCAATTAACTTTATTGCGGCAAATTCTTCGTAATCAAATTCTTTGTATTCATACGTACGGATTTTTCTTAAAAAATCTAACCGATTTTCGTCGAAAATTCATGATTTTATCTGATGGTATATCTACCATCTCGTAAAAATAAAATTTCTTTTAAAACTTCTACGTATAGAAAAAGTCACTTTCTTACTTAGTTTCTAAGAATTTTTATTTTATTTCTTTCGAATTCCGTTCAGGAGTAATCATCTGGTTAGTGTAATCATATTTTCCGACAGAGACCGTATCTTACAGAACCTAGCTCGTCATAAAACATATGTTTTATGTAACAATAACGTAAGTCTTTTTAAAACATGTACTAAATACATATAAAGTGTCACAGTATGGTAGTTATAGGTATAGTTGTAGAATTTTTTATTATTTATTAATATACGACAAATGCGAGTATGTATAAATTGTTGCAAAGAAAATGCATTACTCGACGATCCGAACGTTCGAATCATACTTTGCGAATCTTGTATTAACTTGTGCTTTGTCCGTAAGCGACACAAAATTGCACAAACGCAATCCGACATACGGCCTACGAGACCGTACACTCTATGTACAATAAGTTAGCCATTTAAATAAGAAAAAAAAATTGCTTAGCCTAAACACGGACGAAACACGAAAATTATCGGTATTAGTTGAATAAATATCTCTCCGACGAGAATAAAAAGTCGTATTGAATAATTCGTCGATACAGGAATATATAACGCAATTAATATTTAAATATAAATATAGATCTATATATATGCTTGTATATCCTGAGTTATTGTTAACCAATCCAATCGTGTGCACGAAATATCGTAGTCCCAAATTTTGCCAGGTTTCGTCGAGCCTTCCTTTTGCGAGAACAAAGGAGAAATTTCGTCTGATTGATGTTTTCTGTCATCACTGCACGATTTGGCGGATCCAGTCGAGATAATGGGATACCCGGACATAGACGCCGGGCACGCCGGCATTGCCGCAACCAATACCCCAGGAGACGACGCCGGCCAATTGCCATCGGCCGTTGCGCTCGCAGACCATCGGGCCGCCGCCGTCGCCTTTACAGGCATCCTTGCCCTCCTCGCCGCCGGCGCAGACGAAGCCCTTATGCAGGTTGAAGCTGGGGCCGAGCCTTGTCTGCTTCATCTGCTGCTCGCACACGTAGTTGCTCACAACACGTACGTCCACCTCCTTCAGTATGTTCTGGTACTTGCCGAAGTCTCCAAAAGCGTCTTTGCCCCAGCCGGTGGTCCAGCATCTGCCGTGTCGTAATGATTTGTTAGTCTGGAGTAAACGCAATTACCCGTGAAAACACTCGAAAAGTTCGAGCTCTCAGTCGCAATGTTTTAGGATCTCCGAGATGCTTGGCGTTATATTAGTCATATTGATTTAATGTCGCTACGTAGTATGACAACGTGTTGTTATTAATAAGATATGAAATGAGTAAGAAGATTTATCACACGAACTCTTGGCACCCGAAAAGTTTTTTCCATGAGAAACAACTGTAGAGACTTTTTTGGTTATAACCAATTTGGAAATTCGTATTGTTAAGAATTATGATAATATGCTGGATAGTTTAGCATTGAGAATATCTATACTATAAAGAAGGATACCTAAAATATATGGGAACCCTATCCCCCGCGGACAGCGATCAAACTTATATTCCAAATCATAGACCCTTACTGTAATTTAATTTTGTCAATGAGCACTTTCCTATGTCTAGCAGTCAAAAGAAAATACAGATGATAAAGTGGTCAAAGTTTCAATATATTTACTCTTGTATCTTCCCAATGTTTTTATTAAATTTCATTAATCTTTTAAGTCACGAATTTTTCTGCACAACCTTTTCCTTTGTTCAATCGATATCTAAGGGTTTTTGGGGTTACCAATTACGAATTTGAAGTCGGTTTTTGAAAATCCAAGATGGCTGGTCCAATATGGCGGACGACAATTTTAAAACTCCCTCAATTTCTGTGAAAATTAGTACCCGAGGGTTTTTGGCGTCGCTGATCACGAATTTAATGTCATTTTTTTGAAATTTAAGATATTTATAGACCCAACTTTACTTACATATGAAAAAAAATATAACATCCCAATTTTTAGTATTTTAGATCGCCATATTTTAGTTCGCTATCTTGAATTTTTAAATTTTTCAGTTCAAAAAGCATTAACCAAGCAATTCTTTTTCATAAGTTTACTTTGCAATATTTTTGGCAAATAAATTTTTTTCAAAAAAGTACCATTTTTTACCATTAATTTGTTTATGAATAATTAAATTTGCAAAATTTAATGTTCTGTGCAGATAATTCTATTAGAGGAACATCTAAGCTTGATAATGAATCCACATTTACCGCGCCTTGAAGTCTACAAATTAGTTTAAATCCGTAAAAACTACTCTAAAAAAGGTGTATCATATACGATACACTATGACTTAAAGTATTAATCTTTAAATGATTGCTCGTTAGTAAAGGAGCACAGTCAGAAACTTTAGGTCAGACGCTTGAACATTTGATTCAATAGAAGACTGAATAGAAGAAAGACAATGATTTTAAATAGTCGAGTAGGTTACTTGAAGTTCGGTGAAAATCATCCTAAACCGTTTCATTCACCGCGTGAATTTTGTGAGTTATGGAGAGTCTTACCTTACTCCAGTGAAGTCATCATACTGATTCGGTAGACAAGCGGGGCTTATATGAGGGTTCTTTACGTAATCGACATCGTAAGCCAACTTGAGGATAGCGATGTCATTGGCGAGAGTGCCAGCATAAAACTCGGGATGCACGTAGACGCTGACGATGTCGCGCTCTATGTAGGGATAGAACTCGACGTCGTGGTTCACGTCCCACTCGCCCAATCGCGCGCGAAGATCGCGTCCGGCATGGGCCTTCACGCAGTGAGCAGCGGTGATGATATATCGTGATGAGATCAAAGTACCTCCGCAAACGTACACGCTTTCGCCGGGACTCTTTTTCAGGATAGCCACTTGCCACGGGTACTCGCCTAAATAGGAGGAAAATGTCACGTTATAGAATGCCTAAGTCGTATTTGAATAGGTTTTATTGAAGCACAAAGTCACACGTATCTGCATACACCATCGAAATAACTTGAGTCAAATAAACTCAATTTTAATTTCAAAATTGAAATTGGCAAACTAGCTGCCCTAATTGCTTTATGAAAAATTTAATTGTTCTTTAAATCTATTGTTTGTGTAAAACAAGTTCAAAATTTAGTTTAATAAAGCTGATCGAATACGTTATACTGGTCTAGCAAAAATAATCTTTTATTATATGAATTAAATTATATAATCTATGTAGTATTTTTACATTGATTTAAAACATACAAACAGTTTTTTCTGTCATCTAGGGCTTTCCAGTAATGTAATTTTTAAATTTCAAGAAAATTAATTTTCTTTATACGTGCAGACATTGTCTATCTACTTTAAAATGTAGAAGTTTGTGATTTTTTGCTTATGATAAATTTCCTTTAAAAGTAAAAAAAATGTATCAATTTTTATATTTTATATTTTATATTTTTATTTTTATATTTTATCTGAAAAAAAATCGCGTAAAAAAAAGAGAAATTATTAATCTTTGTAAATTTTTATAGGCAAATATATTGCTCAAATAGAGGAAATTTTTGTGAAAAATACTGAATATTGATAGTACTTTAATATAAAATGGTTGGTATTAAATGGAATTGTGAATTGCGTGGAACTATATGTAATGTGTTAAATTTCAGATAACTGTTACAAAAAGATCATGGGTAATAGAAGAATTCTGATGTCAGTTTCGGATTCTACATATAAAAAATATATAAAAAACATATCAGGAATACCATGTGACAAATCATCTGTTGACTAACATTATTAGTCATTATTTACCAGTTAACTTATTGAATTTTCTACCAGAAATAAAACTATTCGGTTAAGTTAACCTTTTCATATTTAGACGTTCATCTATATTATATATATAATTACGTTTTAGTTTTATCAATTTTTTATTGCTGACTAAAGTTTGCAGCCCACACAGATTCCTGAATCAGATTGATAATCCAAAGCGACTTTTATTGACACGATTGCAACGTGTGCAACAAATTTGCATAAACTTGCTTGCCGATTTCCAAAATATAACAAAAACTACTTGATACCGAATCCTCTCTATCTCAAAAATATTTTCCCAGAAACATATCTTGAAAAGTTTCCAAAGATATCTCTAACTCTGAATAAGATCTTGAAGTTTTTATTCGAGTTTTTAGTGTATTCAAATGACGATCAAAACAAAATTAATTGAACACTTGCCGGTTTTAAGATCACAACGAAAATTGCATGACACTTTACCTTTTCTATCTCAAAAGTGCTTTTCCAGAACATATCTCGGAAGGTCTCAGAAAATATCTCTGCCCCGAAACAACATCTTCAACTGGAACGAACCGCGATCTCTCTCTTTCACACACACACATACACGAGAATCAATTGCGCGGGAGATTGCATCAAATCTCACATACCGAACTCAGAATCTCCGTCCTCGTAGACAGGAGTCTTGATGCGACCATTGATGCCTTGTGTATTCCTAGTTCCGCATTGACCGGGCTGGGGGCGTGGCGCTATTAGATGCGATTTGCGACAACAGACGCGATGATCACCGCAAACTGATGCAGATCCTTCGTACCGTCTCTAAGGAAATAGAAGGCAGAGAAATCGATTAATCGATACCATGGCTACGTGCCCTCAGCGTTACCTGACCAACGTCCTACTTATCGTGCGACATTTATCTGAAATGTACACCGCGCTGCCGCTCAGTTTGACAGTCTTTCGGTTCGTAAGTTCGCTGCGTCGTCATCAACCAGTCGTCCTCTGTCGTCCGCCGGCAGTCCTAGTTACTCTAGCGTTGTTCTCTATATCGTATGACCTACACGACCTGCTGGGTCTGTTTAGCGAACCAACAGCCGACCGGTTCTTACCTCCGTCGACGTGGTATCGTTAAACGTCGCATCGCGACGTCGTCTTCTATTCTCCGAGAACGTAATCTTTCCTCCGTTAGACCCACCCTCGCGGTCGGCCGGTCTTCGCGGTGGCGAATAATCCTTGGCCGTGGCGGACTGCCCGCCTGTTGTCGTCGTGACTCTCGCGCGAGCCTTTCTATAGTAATCATCGTCCGCGTAATCATCGTCCGAATAATCGTTGTAGTCGTTGTAATCGTCACCGTCCTTGTAGTAAGGGCCAGGGTATCCGCCGCCATAATGAGGCTTGTGGTAGGTCGGTGGCGGGTAACGATGGTCGTGCTGATGATGCAGACCATACGACGGATAGAATGGCGGTTGCGACGGGTAGTGCGGGTGATGGTGTTGGTGGTACGGTTTGTCGTAATGGTGATAATGCTCGTAGACGCCTTGCGCCGGTGCGTAAACGCCGCCGTAATTCCCGTGCAGGCCGTATTTCTTGTACGCCAGCAGATTACTCAGCTTGTGAACGAGGCCCGCGTTCGGCGTTACATGCAGATTCACGTAAGGCTTCAGGACTTTCTCGCCGTACTCGTCCTTGCTCACCTGCAGCGCTACGAGCGGATTCACCGAAACCGGACCTAGATTTATGCCCTGTCCACCGGCCAGCCCGTGACCCGGATACCCGAGGGGATTATTGGGATGGGGTCCGATCGGACCGCCGACGGTCTGCGGTAGGCCGAAACTGACGCCCCAAGTTGGCTTCACGTTCAGTTTCGAGGTGTCCAGATTGTCGGCTATCAGTCTCTGCAACGAGAGAGTCGAACAAAATTCACGTGGAACGGAGAACCGAAGTTTCTCTCTTTCTCTTTCTCTCCCCTTCTCGCTTTTTCTGTGTTTCCTCTCTCTCTCTCTCTCTCTCTCTCTCTCTCTCTCTCTCTCTCTCTCTCTCTTTCTCTTTATCTCTCTCGTTTTTCGCTGTTAGCATGTCGATTAGCCGAGAGACTTTGCCCCGCTGCTTTTGCCCGCCGGCCTTACTCTCGCGCTTTGTTAGAAGCGTTTGTTCGGGCCGGATCGCACGAATGCAACGTCACCCCCGATCGACGTGTGGCCCCGACGTCTTTCGCCTACCACAGCCTTTAATCTATTGTCTGTTAGTGCGGACGTCTAATTGCGAAGTTGCGACCAGGGCGAACCGACCGACTGAACATGCCAAACTGAGCGATGTGTTAGGACAATGGCATTATAATTACTATGAATGTATGAGTGGCATGCATTTTGAGCGTCTGATCATGTCGTCAATGCGTGAGCTGACTTCGTCGAGCTTCCGATGTGACTTCTATTGGGAATTGGGACAATTTCACATAAAATTCACTACAATAACCTGAAGAAAAGAGTAATAAAACATCCAGTGGATGGCGTTCGATATGTTTTTGACACTTTTGCACAGATTTTATCAAATGGTTGAGACATATAATCATTTATTAATTATTATTATTTGTTATTCATCTTTTTCATACACCTTAATATTTGATCAAATCCAAAGAATGCTGAAAATAGAGTGCACGTTTTTCCTAATCTGAAGTAGGGAAAAAAGTCATGTAACCAATATTTGACGCATTCTTGCGCAGATTTTTACCAAATATTAAAATGGAGATGGATTTATGGAGATTTAGTAAATATTTTGTAGTATTATTTTGTGTAGTAGTAATAGTAATGTGTAGTAATAATGACTAAAGACGAGTAGACTTAACACAAATTTTAACGTTATGTGAGAGGGGAGATCCAATTCGACCTCGTGATTTTATCTAAGGTTAAGACTGTATTTAGTACTAGTCTTTTATTAAAAACTAAGTATAATAGGTCGTTTACCAGGTTCGCTACAAGCATCATACATGTGTGACGCACCGATCTTTCACTTTAAGTTTATCTTTATTAAAAATTTTCAATTGTACTCAACATGTTCGTTATTAACGTCACATATATATGATTACAAGATTTTCTTTGTATATCCAAATATAAACAAACCAAGTCTGTTTTACACAATTATATGAAAGTAAATATATAATGTGGTTTGTAGAAAAAAATTCCTCAAATAAATCGTGGTAGCGAACGTTAACCTTATTTGTTTTAAGTCTTTGGTTTCTAGGAAAGCTCAATAGCCCCATAGTTTATATCTTTTACAGACCAGAACTAGACAATGGTAAAGAATATATACACTGTCTTCTTTGTTGGTCGCATAGATAGCATTCACTTTACAATTGTCTACAATTTCCAGCTTGAACAGATGAGCTCTTAGGAGCACATGTCTTGTCAAGAATCCAAGCCTTATAGTTCCTAGCCTTATCCTGTCCATTAATAGGAGAGAGAGTTCTCTTGTTATTTGTTATTTAATTATTTAATTTTTTTAAATTCCCATATGTCTTAATATTTCATCAAATTCGCGCAAATGTGTCAAAAGCAGATCAATTGCCGTCTACTGGATGTTTTACCCTAATTAGAGTAGAATTGTTTCATCAGTTACATGACTTGAAACTGACCACATTTAACATTCATTCTCCGAGTTTTAATACACTATGATGTAATAGTCGAAGATCGGTAATTTATCAACCTTCATTGTGATATTGATTGTCACATCATCTGTTCGGAGCCCGCGAGAAAAGCGAGAGAGATAGTTTGAATCAACTTACTGCTTGTGCCTCTTGTTTCTTGTCGTCCGTCTTGGTAACCTGCTTGACGTTCCTGCGGTTTCGCTTCACGATTTCCTCTGCTCCTTTCGTCCCTTCGTTCTTCGTCTGTTTGATTTGCTCAGTCTCGTTGGCTCCCTTGGGCAACCTCACGACGCTCATAGTGCCATTTCCGTCGGTGATCACCACTTCGTCGGTTTCTGCCAAGATGCCTTTGTCGAGGGTGCGCGGGTCGATGGCTAAGTAGAGGTCGTCCTTACGGCCGACGTGATTGGCTATGGCGCACTGATCGTAAGGCACACATACGCAATCCTCGTAGTTCAAGGACGAGGAGCCGAAGCTGTCGCCATTGCTGAACTGATAGTCGCCATCGAAGCCGCCGTTCGTCAGGAACTCATTATTGCCGCCGAATTGTTTGCCGTTCGGCTTCATGTAAGTGGGGTAACGATCAGCGTAGCCCTTCATAGACGACGAAATGGATGAAATGTCGCTGTTGGGCGTCTTGATCTTGAAATCCTTTTTGTATTCCTCGAAGGTGTTATAGGCGCCGTAAGTACCGCCGTTTCCGTAACTACCAAGGCCGTTGCCGCCCGACTGGATTATAACAGGGTTGGGTGCGATCCCAGAAGTCGAACCGCCCACGGCAGCCGCGTCTCCATGATGGTAGTGATGATGGACGTGTTGTTGGACGCCTGATGCTCCCGACTGCAGAACCACCTTCTTGTCGATTAGCTTGTCCTCGTAATCAATCCCGATGTCGGCACCTGATTCATAGATGGGTTTGAACGGCAGTGAGTCGGGCTTCTTGTATACCGGATATGGTCCGACGAAGTTGGGCGGTGGTCTGCCGAATACAGGTCCCGGAAACGTAGAAGCGAAACTCGGTGGCAGTGGCACGGGTTTCGCTGGACCATAAGGCCGTTTCACGGGTATCGCCGGGAGTGGACGGCCCACAGGCTTGATGGTCACTGGTTGGGCGTAGATGACGTCGTGCGGGTGGATATCGCGGTGCGGCGAGTAGAAAGGCCGTCGTCCTTCCGGTTCATCGCACTGCAGCAGAATCAATGCGATCGATATGGGTGTTATGATCTACATTATGTTGATCCTGTTTCTTTTTAGGGAACATACATTTTTCGGTGTATTTATATTTGTAAAATACTTTGCTCATGCCAACATACTTGTTCAGTGTTTATAGAAAACGACCTTTAAATCAATATAATAAATTAAGAGAAAGAAAATAAGAACTCAATAACAATGATATCAATTAAATAATAGGAAAAAAGATTACCTAAAATACATAAGGAGGGACACCCATTGAGAATAATTATTTCTTCTATTAATAGCCCCCTTTATAATCTTGCAGTTTTTTTGCATAAAAGTATTTACCAAAAAATTCTCCCCGCTAAAAGTAGAATTAACAACAGCTTTGACTTAGTTAACAATCTTTCATTTAGACATTTCGAGGAACATCATAAACTGGTTTCTCTGAATGCTATCTCTTTATTTACTAATATTCCTCTTGATCTAGCATTAACTTCGGTTGACAAACGTTGGCATTATATTGGCGATTCTATTGAGATTCCTCGCAACGAGTTTATGTTGGCTTTGGAATTTGTTCTTGATTCTACATTTTTTACTTTTAGTAACAAAACTTATAAACAAATTTTTGATAGTCCTATGGGCTCCCTATTGTCGCCTATTATTGCGAACCTAGTTCTTCAGGATTTGGAAGAAAGAGCTATTAACATGATTCCGGTGACATTGCCTTTTTATTTTAAATATGTTGACGATATTCTTTTAGCAGCTCCTAAGGAGTTTTTAGATAACATATTGCGTATATTTAATTCGTTTCATCCTCGGCTGCAGTTCACAATTGAAATAGGAGATGACAGTATTAACTTTTTAGACACTACTCTTTTAATACGTAATAACACAATTATTTTCGACTGGTATCATAAACCAACGTTTTCTGATCGATACCTAAACTATTTGTCTTTTCATCCAATTCAATACAAGATCGGAACAATTATTGGCTTGGTGGATAGGATGTTTTATCTTAGTCATCCGACTTTCCATAAGAATAATTTAGACTTTATCATTTTGACGCTAATTAATAATAATTATCCTTTGGACCTAATTTTTAAAATTATAAAACGTAGACTGAAGTTTCTTATTGTGAATTGCGGAGGTTCAGAGATAGTTAAAACAAATTTGACAGCATCTGGTTATGATGATAAAAAATATTTTACCCTACCGTTTTTTTGGTGTGGTTTCGAACAGACTGGCAAAGCTTTTTAAAAATAATTTGATAAATATTGCTTATTCTTGCAATAATAAATTATCAGGAATGATTTATGATGTGTGCATAAAGACAAGTTGCTTCCTGGTTTCCATAATAACGTTGTGTATAAATTGCAATGCAGTAGTTGTGAAGCGTCGTATGTTGGTCAAACCAGTAGAAGACTCTCTAT